GTATAAATAGCCCTGGTTCAGTCCAGGCTGAGGTGGGCTGAGTGTCAGCTCTGAGGTCACAGAGTGGGGGCTCAAGGCCATTTCAGGTCTACTCCTGCTCCAAGACCACCTGGGGGGTCGAACAGAACCATTCTTAGGGTGAGGGTGCTCAGGAGCTCTGTGATGTGACAGGGTCTTGGGGCTGCCTACCAGTATACAGTTTTCCATAGAGATTTTTCCAAATTTCTGGTACTAGACACCACTCCTTCCAGGGAGAAGCCTGCCAGCAGACTGCTGATGGGTGCCCTGTGCCAGCCACCCTTTGCTGGGACCATGACAGGTGTCTCTCAGGGTACTTCCAACCAGCCATGTGAGGAAGGGGCTCTGTCTCTGCAGGCTTGGTGGGCAAAGACCCTGGTGGGCAAGGGCCGGAGGGCTGGACTCTCCATCTGACTCCTGGCCACCTGCTGCCTGGCAGCCCTGCCCCCTCTGTCCTGGCATCCTGCCTGTGGCCCCATTGTCTCAGACCTGTGGGCTCAGCACACGTGAGCTGAGTGAGGCTTCCCCACACCCTAGGGCAGGATGTCCTCGTGCTAGCGAAATCAGGGGTGAGGAAGCCAGGTGGCCCAGAAAGCTCTCCTCAAATAAACAAAGACCATGGGGCTGGAGTGGTGGGCACAGGAAGCTTCCAGCCTGGGGGCCTGGTGCTGATCTGCAGCACAAGCTGCCCCTGGCTGGCTGAGCCTGCGTCCCGACCATCCAGGCCACAGCTTTCTGAAGTCCAGGCCTCTGTCTGTTCCTTCTGCCAGGAACCTTCTTTGCCCTGTTGCTCCCTTGACTGTGCTCAGCCCTCTCTCCCAGCCTGTGACTTCCTCCTCTGCCCTGAGTGGAGATGGATCCCTTCTCCCTCCTGACCTTAAACTTTTTTGTCCCCACAAGGAAGGCTCTGAGGAGCAGACAGTGGCTTACAGAGTGTCCCTGTCTGACTTGGCTATGTCTTTGGGAGCATGTGCCACTACCTCTTGGGGCCTCACTAGTTCTAGCTGTAGAATGGGAACAGATGGGGTGAAGCTCATTTAAGCTGAGGGCAGGGCATGTAGGTAATTTGGCAGACTGGGGCCAAGTGTGTGTGGGGGGTGCCTGCTTTGAGGGGGGATAAGTCATGTTCCCAGATGGTTCTTCCCTCACCCCCTTAGATGAACAGCCAGGAGTCAACAAAGTGGAGGGGCTACCCTTCCAATCTGATGTGGTCAGGAGGAGAGGATGAAGAAGGGTGGCCAAAGTCTGTCCGAGACCCTGAGCCTCTCCCTCCTGCCCCTCGTCCCCACCCAGGGAGGCGGCATTTTGCTCATGCTCAGCCATGCTAAGGGAACATTGAACCTGCTGTGTCTCTCCTTTGCTTTCTAAATCAAGTTTAATACCTGGACCTGGCCTTTAGGGCCCCTCTCTCTCTACCGTCTCATCTCCCACTGCTTCCTCCATGCTGCAGCCTGGCCCTTCTCCTTGCCAGGACTTCAAACTGGTTCACGTATGACTATTGAAATGAAATAGAAACAGATCTGAATACTTTCTTTTTAATTGGGTGAAGAGAATGATAACTGGAATGGGAAAAGTTCCAAGTTGAAACTTTGTAATCGGAAACTCAGAGGAGATGTAATGAGCCCCTTTAGGAGCCTGATGACAAGAGATATTATTGACTGGCCTGTAGAGGGCTACATAAATTCAAAGTTGGCCACCATCTTTGAGTAGGGCAGTGTTATTTCCAACTCTGCCAGTCAAGAGATTCAGTTGCTGGGTGGCATGAATGCTGCCCTTGTTTTCTAAGGAAGTTTAAGTTTTTGAGTTGGGAAATGACCCCTAAATTTTCCTCTTCTGGTTTACTCACATTTTACAAATTCAGATTTGCTCTGATTTGTCAACCATGCCTGAAATAGAAAAATATAACTGGTTTGCAGCCCTTGCTGTGCTGAGCACATCCTGAACTTTTCTAACCTCAGAAACTTTCCCCCTTCCGAGCCCAAGAGTGTGATTTGGAGTAAAGACTCTGCAGTTAGTCGTGATTCTAATTAAGTTCTGGCCTAGTCATAGACCAGCTATTATATAACCAGTATCTGCCCCTATTTTTTGCCCTGTAACATGAAGATAAATAGTAAGGATTAACTGAGATAATATGTGCTTAAGTCAAGGGCTCATCCAAGGCCCTGCGTACAGTAAATGCTCCATCACTGATAACTGCAGGTATTATTTAAAAGAAGCATTATGTATCATTGACCATCATGCGTTATTGCTGACAGGATTTGTTATCCATTATTATATTATCATCGGGGAGCTCTGATAACCGAGTGGGTAAGGAGTTGCACTACCAATACAAAGGCAAGGGTTTGAGTCCACCAGCTGCTCAAGGGGCAGCTATCAGTTGATACTGACTCAATGGCAATTGTCATGGTGAACAGCTATGGCTCCTTCAGTGCCCTTCTCTGCCATCCTCCATGCAAACGACCTTAACAATCACAGCAGGATTTAGTCCTCCTTGCTGATTCCCTTTCATTTCAGTCCTTCAGGTGCTCCATTTCTGGAAGACAAGTGGACCAGTCACTTCTTTTCTGGCTTCTCCTTGCCTGTTCCTCACCCACCACAAACAGGCACAGAGGCATCGATTCTTCCTCTTCCCCTCGATTCAGCCCAAGTTTATTTCAAGCCCATCTGCTGATCTGGTCTCAGGCAGGTCCAACAGGAATCATTCTTTTTCTTGATATGAGGCAATAATTTCTGCCTTGACTAATCTAGACAATGGCTCACGTTGACTGAGACTGGCCCTCTTTGGGCAGGGTGTGGTGTTCTGCACTTAATATGCGTTACCTCACTCTCCTCAGAGCAGCCCAGGGAGTTGCTATTTTTACCTTCATTGAAGTCGGCAAGTGGGAGCTGGCCTGTATCGGCTCAGGAGAGTTGATTGTTAGATTTTCAGGAATTGTGTGAGCTGGTTGTTAAACGTAGTCATTAAAAACCCCAAATAGTAAAGTCACAAGTAAACAAATGATAGGCGAAACAAAGAACACAAACACTCAGACGCCATGTCTTCCTGATTGCTTTGTGATGTTGTACAATTATCTGTTTTCCTGAGGTTTTAATCAGGATGCTGCCCATCTTGTCCCCACTCTCTGAAAAGAGACATCATGTTGGCATTGAAATCAGCCATGGTGGGAACATTTATATTACAGACAAGCAAACGCTACGGAAAACATTACAGACCAGAGACTCCCTACCCCTACCCTTTCCAGATATCCAGCTGTTAAGCATTTAGCTGCATAGCACTGATGCTGAGGCATGGAGAGATAGATTGGAATCTGCTCAAGTACACCCAGGGTAAGGAGAAAGAGTTGGGGTTAGCAGAGTCCCCATCCCCAGACCCGTCTGTTCATCTTGCTCTTCCTAGGACAGGAGACGGCCGTTACACCCCTCCAGTCTAGCTAACGTCTGCTCAGCCCTCTTCCTCCTTGTCCACCCCTTTCTATCCTCTCAGGGCCCTGTCCCTGGAGCCTCAGGTCAGCCATGGAGCAGCTGAGTCCAGGAACACATTCATCCTGGCAGTCAGAGGCTGGCCTTATCTGGCCATCCTGGCCTTTATCTGGCCATCTGCCCGTCAGCTGTGGAACTGCCTTCTCTCCTCCCAGCTCCGACAGTGGCATCCCCATGGAGTTCTGCTGTCTTGTCCTGGGAGAACAAAACCAGGTCATGTCACTCCTCTGCTCAGCACCCTCCAGTCTCTTCCTTTCTCACCAGTCTCTCTCATTCCTTTCCCCTGGCTCCTGCTTTGGCCCGTTTGGCCTTTTTGCTGCTCCCTAAGCATGCAAAGCACACTCCTGCCCCAGGGCCTTCACACTTGCTGTTCTTGCCCCAATTTCTGCACAGTTTATTTCCTCACCTACTCCAGGTCTGCGCTGAAATTGCCTTCTTTATTCTTTCTCTTTAAAATTGTAACATTAGCTTCCCTTCTCACACACTCGTGTATTTCCCAGCTCCCATTTCTGCTATTTTTCCTGCCTTAGAATTTGTCACCGTTTGACATACTATATTTTTACATTTCTTTTAAAAAATTATTGTTTATTTCTCCTCACCAAGGTGAAAACTCTAATGGTACGGGACCTTTGTCCATTCAGTGGCCAGACCTAAAACAGTGTCTGGTGTGCATGGTAGCCACCAAACATAGTATTTGTTGTATGGATGGATGGATGAATGAATGAATGAATAGCAGTGTTTCAGCTGTGGGAAGACCTTTTGTAGCCCCCTGCAGGTGCAGATAACTGGATAACTGTGTGACTTAGTAGGTGTGAGATCTGGGAGTCCAGAATTGCCTCGATTTGCTGTGTGACCTTTGGCAGATTGCTTTGCCTCTCTGAGCCTATTTCTCCAAGTATAGTGAAGAGAGCAATGTAGTTGAAGTGTAAGGAACATAGACTCAGAGTCAGATAGAGGGCTTTCCATCCATGCTGGGAGATTTACTACTTTAGATTTCGAGCGTGTCACCTCCCCTCTCTGTCTCCACATCTGTGAAGTGGGAAGACAATCCCTGACTGCAGGGAGGTTGGAAAGACACACAGATGCTGTATGGTAAGTCTCTAGCACAGTGTTTGACATGTGAAAAGCATTCAATTAGTAAATGTTTGCTTTCTATTGTGTCAATTTTATTGAATTAAAATGTATTTCTCTTTATTGTTGTCAAAATATAGATGACAAAACATTGGCCAATCCAAGGTCTCTCACTTGTACAGTTCAGTAACATCAATCACCTTGTGTAACCTAGGTGTTTAGTTTTTACACAAGTACCCAAAGGGCTTGTCCGGGAGAGAGGGCTCTTGGGACTTTGGGGAAGGGAATGGGGTTGTGTTGCCTTCCTCACCTCCCCTGGGCTTTGTCTGCAGTTGGGCACTCTGGCATTCAGCCTCAGCTGGGGCTCTATGGGCAGGTGGGCCTGACCCCGGGATCCTGGGCTGGCCCTCATGCCTTCCTGTCCCCTACAGTGTTCATCTGCAGCTTCATGGTAGCTGCCCCCATCTTCGGTTACCTGGGCGACCGCTTCAACAGGAAGGTGATTCTTAGTTGCGGCATCTTCTTCTGGTCGGCGGTCACTTTCTCCAGTTCCTTCATCCCCCAGCAGGTGAGGCTTGCCCCAGCTTCCCACCTGCATCTCCAGTCCCTCCAGTGGGTGGTGGGGTCTGTCTGGGGGTTCAATCCCTTTGCCCAAACCCTCGCGTCTTTCAAGTGCAGGAGAATAGAGGTGTCTTGTGGTCCTTTTCTAAACTAATCCTGCAGACAGAGCCTTCCTGTTACTGGTCTGAATTCAGGGACTCGCAACCCTGTGTGGCATCTGAGCTCGTTCTGAGCCACTCTCTGATCTGGAAATGATGAAAGAAACAGTAGAAGCAATCTGGCCTAGGAATCAGGACTCTTGAGTTCTAGTCCTGGCTCTGCCTGTGCCTTTTTGTGCAACTCTAGAGGAATCAGTCTCCCTCTCTGGGTCTTAAGCACGGGAAAACAGCAGTTGAACATAAAGATGTTTCTCCGTTGACTCTGGCAGACCTGGATTTGTATAGCTCAGCTCTGTTGTCTACTCAGCTCTGTGACTTGGAGACTATTGCTTATGCTCTCTGAGTCTTGGCCTCCTCATCTGTAAACTGGGGACAATTCTTATCTTCAAGGTTTGTTGTTGTTGTGAGAAATAACTGAGCTCATGTCCAGACCCCCGCAAGTGTTCAACCAATCATTGTTATGATTATCTTCTTTTCTCAAGTTGCCTCATGCTGAGAAGGGTAGAGGGACAGCACAGGAGAGGAAGACCTCGGATGAGATGAATTTACACAGTAACTGGGTAATGGGGGTAGAGGTGTCGGAGTCAGTGAGCCTGGCTCAGGACAGAGCAGGGTTCAGAGCTATTGTTTACATAGGTCACGATGAGTAACTGGTGACTCAACAGCACATAACAACAACAGTAACAAGTTGTTTCATTAGTTGTGAGTTTCTCAACACTGTTCATGTTGTATACCATCGAGTCAGAACCGACCTACAGCTGATTCTCCAGTGAGTTTTCAGAGGCAGTAAGTTGTACAGGAGGAGATTGCCCATCTTTTTCCTGCGGAGCAGCTGGTGGATTCCAAGCATGTACCTTTGCATCGGCAGTGCAATTCCTTACCACTAACCCACCAGATTTTGAGGCTCAATATCAAGAAAACAAAGATTCTCACCACTGGGCCGATTGGAAGCATCATAATGGATGGTGAAGAGATTGAGATTATTCACAGTTTTGGTTGTCTTGGCTCCACATTCTTGGCACCAACAGCCAGGAAATTAAAAGACGTATTGAAATGGGAAGTGCTGAAGCGCAAGGATGTCATTCTGGAGACTAAGGTGCGCCTGATACAGGCCATGGTCTTTGCAATCACTTGATATACATCAGAGAGCTGAAAAATGACTAGGGATGATAGAAGGAGAGTTGATGCCTTTGAGTTGTGGTGTTGGAGAAGAGTATTGAATATACCATGGACTGCTAAGAAAACAAGTTTGTCCTGGAGAGAGTGAAACCGGGCTGCTACTTGAAGGCAAGGATTCTGAAGCTCCATGTGACATACTTTGGACATGTTGCAAGGAGGGATCGGTCCGTGGAGAGGGATGTCATGCTTGAGAGGGTGGAGGGACAGCGCAGGAGAGGAAGACCCTTGATGAGATGGATTGATTCAGTCACTGGGGAAATGGGGGTAGGTGTGTCAGAGATGATGAGATTGGCACAGGGTAGGGGAAAGTTTAGGGCTGTTGTGCATAGCGTCACTAAGAGTCTCAGGTGACTCGACAGCACATAACAACAAACAACAAACCACCAGAGCTCCCCCTTCTGAACACTAAGGGTATTCAGACAGAGACTGGAACACCGCATGATGGCTGGTGTGGTGAGAGATGGTGGAAGGAGGGGAGACACTCAGGCTCTGCTCTCAAGAAGCTTTCTATCTGGAGCCAAAAGAGGGGACCTAACTCCTGTCCTTAGGTGTTCCTAGGCCGGGGCAGGGGAGAGGGGGACATGACAGGAGCTGCCGAGCTCAGAGCCTCCAGGATTACAAAGTGCTGAGCGTTCCCACTGAAAAGAGAACATCGTGAAATCCATGGGGTGATAGCCTTTGAGCTGGGCTGGCAGAACATGGAGACTCAGCCTTTTAGTGAAGATGAGATAGACACATTGACAGCCAATGACAGAGTGGAGTGGAAAAGGATGAAGGGAACGATTTGACTGGAAAGGAAGGCAAGGAGAGGGTTATGGAGGGCCTTGAATTCTGAGCAAGAGAAGGGCTGCTTTCTCCTGAGGGCTCAGTACTGACTGAACCTCACAAGTTCTTTTCTAGATGGGCAATGCAGGGTCAGGTCTATGTGGATTACAGGGCGCGTGGAAGTAGACAGAGAAATTGGAGGTCTAGGGGACTTCACAGAGGAGGCTTAGCCCAGGTGAGTTCCAGCACCAGGTAGTGTTTGTCACAGTAAAAGATAAACACTATATACTGTGAGCTTCAAGGAGCTCTGGTGATCTAGTGGTAAAGAGTGATATTATCAACTCAAAGGTACCTGGGTTCGAATCTACCAGCTACTCCTGCATGAAAAAGACAGGCAGTCTCCTCCTGTGTGGTTTACAGTCTCTGAAAACCTACTTTATGGTCAGCTATGAGTTAGTTCTAACTTGATGGCACATAACAACACAACCACCACCACCACAACAACATGAACTTTGAGGACCTCTTTGAATCTCCCTTGTCCTAACCAGGCCTCCAGTCGCTTGACTTCTGAGGCCGTTTTCTGAGCTAGCCCACAAACCCAGAGCCGTGATGCTGAGGCTGGCCCACATCTGGAACGTGGAAGAGATGGAGCCTGGGGAGTGAAGATAAACAGAGGCAGAGAGCAAAACCCAAGGATCCCCTCCAGCTAATCTGTGAATTCACTGCAATCACTGTCCGAGTCCCCTGAGGGGGGGGGGGTGGTTGGTGGATGTTTGGTGGATCTTAAAGATCGTCTTGCAAAGAAAATACCAAAGAATAGCCAAGAAAGAACACAGAGAAAAAAGAACATTGAGAGGGACTTCCCCCTACCAGATACTCAGATAGAGTCATTCTAACTAAAACAGCAAAGGAATTGACCCAGAGAACAAAGAAGCAGAGTTCTTGATGTAGTGGGGATTTGGTCGCATCTCAAATGAGCAGTTTAGGGCGAGTGAATGTCCATCTGGGTTGAAAATCAAGTTTGGTCTGTACGTCAGGTCACACTACAAATCAAAGTGCCAGATAAGCTGAAATAAAAAGCAAGCTCTGAGAAGAAGGAAAAAAAAAATAATAATTTAGAACTCTAAGTCAATAAGCAAAAGAAAAATAACCCGATAGAGAAACCAGCAAGAGATAGTAGTGGCAGGCAATTCCAGGGGAAGACACCCGAGTGAGCAATAAACAGAGCAAGCAGCCTCCTCTCCTCAGCAATCAGGGAAATGCAAATTAAACAACAATGAGCTACCACTTCACACCCATCAGATCCGCAACAATTAAAAAGGCTGACAGTACCGAGTGCTGTTAAAGCTGTGAAGAATCAGGGACTTGGCGCTGCTGGGGGAGTCTAAATCAGGTTGAGTCTCTTTGGAGAGCGAGATGGTAGCTGTAAACTACCAGGAGAATCCCACAGCCCAGCATGCTACATCTAGAAGCTTCACCTTGTGGCCAGGCAGTCACTCATGCAGCATTGCCATTGACCAAAAAAAATGGCAGAGTAACTGAAATGCCTAGCAATGGGAGACATACAAAGAAAATGGGGTGTGTTCCTATTTTGAAACTCTTTTTTGAAAGGTATAGCGAAATATTTATTAGAAAGTTAAGTCCCAAAAGTTGGAATAGACCTTCCTCCTTGGAAAGGAAATATGGAGGAGGTCCCTACTTTGAAATTCTCAACCACAGAAGTGTGGAGTGGATCTATGTTGACAAATGTAAAGTGGATTTCAGAAAAGGTGGAAGGGGAAAAATTTTTAAAAAGCCGATTGTACAGAATGGTGCCATTTCTGTTTGTTTTTTAAAAGCAGGCATGCAGGACATGATGTTGTTTATTTATGCATGGATGCATAAGTCGAGACAGAGCGGGATTCCCAACAAATGTACAATGAAGCCGTTTCCTGTGAAGAGTAAACAGGGTCCCTCATAAAAGACCTTATCTACTCGCTATTGTACAAAGGATAATGGTTGATGAAATCTCTCCCTCTTGACTTCTCGCTCTTAAAAGTGCAACAGATAGGAAATGGAAGAGCTTTTTTGGATTTTCTTTCTAATTTGGCAGTAGGGTACAGGCATTCCTGAGCAAAGCAAGAAATCTAGAAACCAGTAACGAGTAGGCAGGAATCAAACAGCTTCGAAAGCATCAAATAAAACCAAATACAACTTCCTCTGTGATAAAACACCCCACAGGCTAAGTTGAGAGAGAAAAGACCATGCAATAAAGGGTCAATGGCCAGAATATATAAAAAAGCGGGTGTAAATCAATAAGTATACAGGGAAAAAAAGGATAAATACCCAAGAGGGAAATGGGCAATGGTGGTGGGTAGATGAGTCCCAGAAAGGGAAAAGGAGACAGAGCCAAAGCAAGCTGTGGAGATGTGGGGAGACAGAGGGAAATAGCTACAGAAATGAGCTCAGACAGAGATGGACAGGCAGGTCCAGGGATGCAGAGAGCGAGAGAGCCAGAAGGAAAATGGGCAGATGGAGGGAAGTAGGGAGACCCAGGGCAGGGCTGGCCGTGGGCAGTGCTGGCCGGATGGGCGGGCTGGGTGGGGCTGGGGAAAGATGACCAGGCTGGGTTCTCAGGCCCTGGACAGTTGAGGGCATGGGGGAGGGGGTCCACATCAAAGGCGTAGTACCATCCAACTGGCACAGCCCCACCCTTCCCAGCTAAGCTGGGCTTTGCTCTTTGATGTGTATGTATGGGGAGGGGCCGCTGAGCCCACTGGGCTGCCCTGCCTACCCCCCAATCACACTGGACCCTCAGTGCTGCCAGGGGGTCAGCCTGACTCTTCTGCTTGGGAGAGGGTTGCAGGATGGGGGATGATTTGAGCCCCCACCCCACCAAAGCGGGTCTAGAACCCAGTGAGGTTGTATTCCAACAGGTGAAGGCTGTGTCTCCTCTGCCCAGTGCTTATAGGGGTGGAGTACCATTTCTGCTTAGGAAAGCCCAAGCTCATCCCAACACTTGGCTGAATAGGCCCACTATACAGAGGGAAAGACTGAGGTCCACAGTAGTCTGGAGAATGCAGACACCGATGAAGGAAGATCTGTGTCCCATGCTTACCCCTTGCCCCTGGAGCCTGCAGGTGGTGGGGAGTAGGTGGAGGAAGAACATGGTCCCCCAGCATCCCCTCTCCTCCCCCACAGTACTTCTGGCTGCTCGTGCTGTCCCGAGGGCTGGTGGGTATCGGGGAGGCCAGCTACTCCACCATCGCACCCACCATCATTGGCGACCTCTTCACCAAGAACACACGCACGCTCATGCTCTCGGTCTTCTACTTTGCCATCCCGCTGGGCAGGTGAGACCCAGAGAGCCCAGAGTTGGGGTTAGGCCCCTGGGGAGGGGGCATTTGACCACTCTTTCTTCCTGGAGTTGAGCCAGTAGGTGCCCTCAGTTCACTAAACATGTGGCTATCTGGCCTCAGGGTAATGCAGGACCTCTCCCTGGGCAGCTAACTGGGTGGCGATGCTGGGTGGCCTGGCTGGGTGACCTGCCTTGTAAGCTGCTGAATGTGGCCCACCCCACCCATCCCTTCTAACACTGATCTTCTCCACAGTGGCCTGGGCTACATCACTGGATCCAGCGTGAAGCAGGCAGCTGGGGACTGGCACTGGGCCTTGCGGGTAAGGCCTGAGTTCCCACCCACACAGGACCCCAGAGCACCCCTTGCCCAGAGATTCAGGGTCACACCTCAAGCTAGGACACAGACTTGGCCTCCAAGCTTCCTGCCTGGGCTCCAAAGCCTCTTCCCGTCTAGATAAGTCTAGGCTGAAATGGCAGGGAGCCCAGGTATGAGGGAAATCAGCCCCACTCTGCTCTTGGGACCCCCAGACTGCAGTTAAAATCTCCTTAAAAATCCCAGGTTGAGAGGAGGACTCCAGGACAGGAAATTCCAGTTCCACATTTCCCACTTCCGGTCGGGCAGTAGGCTAGGGTGAGGGTGGGGCAAGACCCTGTGTGGGGGCTTCCAGGGTCTGGAGCCACTTCCTGTCCCGTGGGAGGTTTGGGGCAAGTTTGCCAAGGCCCCAGGACAGTGCAATGGGAGGAAACAGAGATCTGCAGGCTCGCAGAGGAGCGGAAGCTAAAGACAAAGTGTTTTTTCCTCAAAAGCAGGAAGGAAGTGGCCTCCATGGAATTTCTTGATGGGAGCAAGAGGAACTCCCTGGTCTGTGGCTTCTGGGGCTGGTGGGGGTCGAAGCAGCCTTCTCCATTCTATGGACTGAGGGAGGGGCTGGTTGGAATCCAGGCTACCAGGATTCCCCACTCCAATCCTGACAGGAGCCTGGGGGGCCTTGAGATTCCACTCTTGACATTAGGGTAGACATAGGGAAGACTCAAAGTGACCCCTGAGTCCTTGTTAGCCTGGACTCACATGGGCCCTCCCAGATGTTGAGCTGGTTGGTCTATGAGCTGGAAGCCTCTTGCCCACCCAGGCCTTTCCCAAGCCCTGAGGGGAGGAGTGGCCTGGGGAACTTTTCTAGCCCCAGAGGCTTGGCCAAGACTGTGTCTGATACCTTGTCCCCAGGTACTCTCCCTTCTCTCCCAAGGTCACCATGCCATTTGTAACCATGTACTCCTCTCCATCCATCCCTCCATCTTTCTTCCAGTTTCTCTTGTTCACCACTCCACTGAGTCCCCATTTGTCTGTCCAGCCATCTTTCCTTTTTCCTCCATCCATCTGATCATCTATTTGTTCCTATCTCCCCCTCCACACCTCTGCTCTACTTCCTGCTCTAGAAAATCTATTTTGGACCCCCAAGCCCTTAGGGTCAGAGTTAAGGGTTTTGGTTAGGGCAGGGCCCTTTTCTGTGGGGCATCATCAGCCCCAACCATAGTGGCTCCCTCAGGAGGGCTGGCCAATGACAGGCTCAGAGAGGACCCCAAGAGGGACAGCTTGCCTATACCTAGTGCAACACAGTCACTGGGGTCCTGGTGCCCTCATTCCTCATTCTGTGTTCGGCCAGGTGTCCCCAGTCCTGGGCATGATCACAGGAACACTCATCCTTGTCCTGGTGCCGGCCACTAAGAGAGGGCACGCAGACCAGCTCGGCGGGCAACTCAAAGCACGGACCTCGTGGCTCCGAGACATGAAGGCCTTGATCCGAAAGTGAGTCTTTATAGGAGGAGGGTCGGCGGCTGAGAAGAAAGCCCACCTGGCCCCTCAGCTGGCTCCCTGCCCAGGTGCCATGATCAGCATCCTTGCTGTCCATTTGAGAGCTTAAGAGGGAATGGGGGAACCTCTGACCCTGGGGAAGCGGGAAGCAGGGGAGTCTGTAGGCTACAGAGTGGGGCAGATGCAGCCTCTTCTGGGATGCTGTCTTCACTCAGTAAACACCACTGCCTGGCCTCTCCCCAGTCGCAGCTACGTCTTCTCCTCTCTGGCCACGTCGGCTGTGTCCTTTGCCACAGGGGCCCTGGGCATGTGGATCCCCCTCTACCTGCATCGCGCCCAAGTCGTGCAGAAGACGGCAGAGACATGCAGCAGCCCGCCCTGTGGGGCCAAAGACAGGTGGGGTCAGGCCTGGTGGGCTGGGCTTGGGTCAGGACACCTGGACTGAAGAATCCATGGTCCCTGGCCTTGTGTGCACCCCCTCTAACCTGTGCCCCATCATCCTCTGTCCCCACAGCCTCATCTTTGGGGCCATCACCTGCTTCACAGGCTTCCTGGGCGTGGTCACTGGGGCAGGAGCCACACGCTGGTGCCGCCTGCGGACGCAGCGGGCTGACCCTCTGGTGTGTGCAGTAGGCATGCTGGGCTCCGCCATCTTCATCTGCCTCATCTTCGTGGCCGCCAAGAGCAGTATCGTGGGGGCCTATGTGAGTGAAGTGGGGGGTGCCCTGGGGCGAGGGGGAATATGCTTAGGTTGCTGCAGGCGAGGATCTGCAGCAGGAGATCCAATCCCACTTGTTGGACTGTGTCGCCCCATGGGAAGACTATAAGGTGCCAGTTCCCTGGCTCTGCTCTGTCCGGGGTCCACATCCTTCAGGGCCTCTGGATGTGGCTTGGGCAGGGGAATCTCATCAGTGTGACTACGTGGAGATGCAGACCCCAGGGAGGGATTGGAAGCTTTTGAGAGACCTCCTGTCAGCACACAGCATGCAGGGAGCATCCCAGGGCTGGTGATGGGTGAAGGAGAACCCCTGATGGCTCTCCCATCTTCCCTGAACAGATCTGTATCTTTGTGGGGGAGACACTGCTCTTTTCTAACTGGGCCATCACGGCGGACATCCTCATGGTGAGTGAGCAGGCCAAGGTCACCGCCTGCTGACCCAGGCCTCTGGACTGCAGGAGGAGGGGCTGGAGAACAGCTGGGGCAAGCAAGTAGTGAAGCAAGGGTGCTATTAAGGCTTTGAGGCACAGGGGTGAGAGGAGGAAGGTGATTGTGGAGATAGGGAGATTAGGGTATAAGAGATCCGGGGACAGGGCTGAGCAGGCTGAAGGGATGAGAAGCCCCACTTCTGGCTGGGTGGGAAAGAGGGGGGATGTCAAGAGGCTCAGGTTTATGGCTAGGAGCCTGGCAGTGCCAGGCTGGCCTGGAGGTGGTGCTGGCTGCCAGCACTCCTCCCCCAGAGTCCGTGCGTCCACAGCCTATGCCCCTCCCAGCCCAGGCCGGGTCCCAGGCCGGCAGCCCCAGGATTGCGGCCGCCCGAGCCAGGCGCCCCTGCCCGAGTGCCTGCGGCTGGGCTGGCCGGACAGAGGCTGTCTTCACAGGACCAACAATGGGTCCCAGACTGGCCAGCCAGCCGAGGACAAAGGACCATCAGAGCGACCGGCTGGGGCTTGTATCTCTGAATGGGGACAGGGGCAGCCTAGGAGGGGCCATGAGGGGGCGTAGTGACAAGGCAATCTAAGGGGCAGCAGTGGAGGGGTGCCTGGTCTTTCCTAGGGGATCCCCCTGAGGGGATGAAAGAGAGTGCATGGGCGGGGGTGGGCTGGGGTGGGGAATGGAAGGAACAGAGCAGGTCACAGAGGTGGGGGTGGGGAGATCATCTTGGATGGACCCCCAGGGTGCATGGAGTCTGATGCTACAATACCTGATGACCCAGGAGAGGACATCTGTCCAGATTCGGGTTCCTGTGCCCTCTTCCACTCTGGGAAGCTGCCTTATCCCCATCCAGCTTCCCTGCTATTTCCCTGTCACCCGGGTTTTCACTGCCCCATCGGCCTGTGGCTGGGGATGGCGTCTGATGTAGTCTGTGCACAGCTTGGTGACTGGGAGGGGCAGGGAAGGCAGGGTCACCACTAGGCGGGGAGAGTCAGCCTGAACCCTGTGCCCTGCCTCCGGGGGCCCTTTCAGTCACTGACAGGGCCTGGGTCCCAGGGAAATCATGTCCCATTTTATTAAGTGTCACATCCTAGTGACTAATTATCATTGGAAATGAGGCCACATCATTTCATCTGAACCAGGTCTCTTCCCTCAGCCCCCAGGGTACCCGCTGGGCGTGGCTACACTGTCCATAAAAGCTGGGGCCACAATGGATATGAATTTTGTATGCAAACTAATATATAAGAAATTTAAAAAAAAGCTGGGGCTATACAGGCTTGGTGGGGGTGTCTCTGGGTAGCGCAGGGCAGGGGGCCACTCAGGGATGCCCACTAAGCTGGTTCCCCCACCCCCAGCCCCTTGAGTCTGACCTTGTCTGCTCATCTCTGAACGGCAATGTGGGGGGCAGGGTCTGCGTGGTCTGATGGGGGCACCCAGGGGGTTTAATCTTCTTAGTGTTCCTGGGGGCTCAATGGGCTAAAGAGGGTGCACTTCCAGGCAGGAACCCCAATCCCTACCCTGATCGTAATGAACTGGGAACCAGATGGGTCTTTAGTTTGTGGCAGAAGCAGCAAGCTGCCCCAAGAAAGTCAGGTTTCTAGCCCCAGAGCTGCTATACTCCAAGTGTTCCCTTTGGAACTTGGGCCTCAGTTTCCCCATGAGCTGTGAGCAGCCTCTGAGCCAAGTACACAACCTAAGGGAAGCAGGTCCCCCCCATGGGAGGGAGGCCAGTGGGGTTAGGGGAAGCAGCATCACAGGCAATACAAGGCTCAGAGAGCTCCAACTAAAGACTTGCAGTGATAGTGTCAGGGTGACCCCCCCCAAACTGTTCTCTCCTTGGCTGGATGAGAGGCAGGGGAGGCAAACATTTCTGCTGCTGAGGGGAATCTGGGGTCCGTGATGAGTTCAGTGGGGTGGGTTGAGTGGTGGAGGTGGGTGTCATCCATGAGGCTGTGTCCAGGAAGGTGGAGATGGAGGCAAATCAGAAGGGTGACTGAAGATGCCAGCTGTTGAGCTGAAGAGGGGAGATGGAGGAGGGCAGCTTTAGGGGAGGAGGCTGGAGTGATTCTGACAGCAGGGAGTAGGGACCTCCACCAATGAAGGGTGGGCCAGGTGGTGAGCTCAGCCCCGCTGGCTGCTTACCGCTGACCTGCCCTCCTCCCCCACAGTATGTGGTCATCCCCACCCGCCGGGCCACCGCTGTGGCCTTGCAGAGCTTCACCTCCCACCTGCTGGGGGATGCTGGGAGTCCCTACCTCATCGGCTTTGTAAGTAGCCAGGCTGGGTCTGGACTATCGGTGGTGGTGGTCGGAGGGGAGTAGGGGCAACTCTTGCCCTGATGCTTACCCCTGCCCCCCAATCCTGGCAGATCTCAGACCTGATCCGTCAGAGCACCAAGGACTCCCCGCTCTGGGAGTTTCTGAGCCTGGGCTATGCCCTCATGCTCTGCCCGTTCGTGGTGGTCCTGGGTGGCATGTTCTTCCTCGCCACCGCTCTCTTCTTCCTCAGCGACCGTGCCAAGGCTGAGCAGCAGTGAGTGGGGATGTCCCTCTGACCCTAGGGTGGCCAGGGGATGGTGACTTAGCCCTGGCTAGTGTGGGCAGTGACTCGGGGTGGGGGTCCAGTGTCTGGCCAAGTTCACACCCAGCCAGAGTGCATGTGGCCCAGGCTTGAGGGGTGAGAGGCCCCTGGGGGAGGTCAATCTTGGTGTAGGGTTTTCTCTGGAGCTAATGGTTTTCAGAGCAGGGCCCCCTTCCCCTTTCTTTTTCTCTCATTTTCTGACTTCTTTCTCCTCTCCTCTTTACTCCTCTTTCTCTCCTCTCCCGACCTCTGGGCTCTCCCATCTCCCCCTGGGGCTGACGAGGTCCCTGCCCAGGGCTTCCGGTCAGCCGGCCCCCACGACGCGACCTGCCACAGCAGTGCTTGGGCCCGGCCCCCGCTGACCTGCCACCCTGACCCTCGCCCGTCTCTCCCCCAGGGTGAACCAACTGGTGGTGCCGCCCGCATCCGTGAAAGTCTGAGGTGGTGAGTGTGGGCTAGACACCAGGTGTGAGGGCACAAAAAACCCAAGCCCCAGTCTGGCCAACCGTGGGTCAGAGCAGAACTGGGCTCTGCTGGGTTTTCAGCAGACTGGATTTTTGGAAGTAGATTGATAGGCCTTTCTATTCAAGGTGTCCCTGGGAAGATGAATACTCTCCACGCTCTCACTTAGCAAAGCACGTAGTGCAGGCAGCGCCTTGGGATGGGGCAGAGCTGGCACTTGGGGGGGAAGAGCTTCCAGGGCAGCATTTCACCGCTGTGGGATTTGCTCCAGAACAGGAACCATCCCTTCTGGGCACTCCGGCCCGAGCACACCCCGCCAGCTCTGTGCTCCCCCAGTGCTGCCTGAACTTACTGATGAACTATAGGACGGACCCCAGGGTCCTCCTTGCAATATATCAGCAACCACTTCCTTCCTCACAAGGGTCAGGGACACCCATTCAGACGGGCCCAAAGAACAGATTTGGACAGAAAAGGGAGGGGCAGAAAAGCATCCTTTTGCTCCCCAGCTGTGCCAGGGCCCTGCCTCTTGGGGCTGCAGCTTCTTAGCAGGACAAGACCTGGGGTAGCTGTTTGCTCAGTGTCCCCCCAAAGGCAAGTAACATGCAGCACCAGAACCCTACAATGGTCCCTTCCAGACCTCTGACCTCTTAACTCTTCCTGTAGGTGCCGCTGGGACAACGAAGACCCCATGCTCCTACCTAGCCTGGGAGGTGTCCTTCAGCATCCTGATCCTTCTGGGTTGTCCCAGAGCTTTCTGGTTGACCCAAGGCTGGGCGCCTACCCTCTCTGGTCTGGGACTGCAGAGTGGCCCTGGCTCAATGAAGATGCGGCATCCTCAGTTGACCTGGAGGCCTGTGCTTACTGGAGCCAAGCAGCTGGACAGATGCCCAGCCGTGAATTTGGGCTTCAGGGCCCTTGGGTCCAAGGGAGACGGCAACCCCAAGTGGGTATATCAGGACAGCCTGCTCTGTCACCGGCTTATGTGATGCTGGGCAAGTCCCTGCCCTGCCTGGACCAAGGGGCCAGAGGGCTGGATTTTCCCATGCAGCTAGCCGGGCAAGGCGCCATCAGCCACTTTGAAGACCCAACAGCCTCTGGACCATATGGAGAAGAGGTAGCCCAGGCCTCTGCAAGGCACTTCAGGCTCTGAGGTTCCCCAAGGGCCTGGAGTGTGGGGCCAGCTGCTGCCTTGGGGATGCTGGACTTAGCCTGGTGAGCATAGCCAGGTGCCAAGGTCACTGGGTTGTCCCCAGACCCACCAGCTCACTCTGGAGGACACTGGTCACTACCGCCACAGGCTGGATCAGCCTGGCTCATCTCCCAGGTGGGGACTATCCCAGGACTGAGTTGGCATCACCAGGGGTGAAGGCCCTGGTGACAGCTCTACACCACTCCTGTGCCCGGGCTCGAGACAGGCTGATTTGGGAGTTATCCACCCAACTCTGCAGGGCTCCCTAGAACACTTCTGTTGTCCATCCCTCCCCACCCCTTCAGAAGCCAGGAACCCACTCCCTATCCCCAGGCTGGGCTGGGCTTTTCCAGGGGCAGGGCCCAGGGGATCATTCCCAGAATCCATGGGGCAGTAGCCAGGGATCTGGTGGCTGGAGGAAGTAGCAACCATCCACCAGGCTTCCTGCCTCAGGGAATGAGCTGATGAAGGTGGAGGTCTGGAGACAGAATCAGCCCAACCATCCAAGCTCCACACTGTTGCTCCTACTCCCCCTAGTGGGCCAGGCCTTCCCTTGGCCTCTGATCACTGTTTTGCACACATCCCTGCCGTGCTGGGGCCAACATCACAGTGGCCTTTGGTTTCCTGAGTGCAGCTTATCCCCTTGACCCCCCAATTCCTGCACATCTGCTGGAAGCTAAAGGGGCTGTGGTGTCCTTGTTGCCAGTAGGAGACCCCAAGAGCCAGCTTGGCCAATGCTCTCTCCACCCCTTAGTTACCCACCGGCTGGCCCTGGCTTTAAGTGGCGTGTAAGCTAGTGGAATGCCCCTTCCCTGAGCCCTGGGGCACCCAGGGGGGCCCGACGAGGGAGTGGTATCTTCCAGAGCCTGGCCTCCACCCCACCTTGGCTGGGGCCCCAGCGATGTTTTCTTGTTGTACAAGAACCAGGTCCAAGTGTTGCCTCCTCTTCCTTCCGGAAGCCAAACTGCTCCTTTATTTTTTAGAGCTGCTGATTGTGAATCTCAGAGTCTTAAGAGAAGCCAAATATATTCCTCTTGTAAATGAAGAAATAAACCTATTTAAATCAAGCCTTAGTGGCTCTGCTGCAAAATGGGTGGGGGTTAGGAAGGGTGCTTCTGCCAAAGCCTGGCCAGTGTGGGTGGTCCACACTGACCTTTTATGTAAGTATATGTACCCAGCCATCTCAACAGAGCCCTGGGAGAGTCAAGGATCCGGCCCAGAGCCAGCTCCTGCAGATTCTAACCCAAGAAGGCTGTGCATCAGAGTAAACTCGTGCTTCACAAAGTTTTCAAGGATTGATGATTTTGGGGGGGGTATGGGGAAGATTGCCAGGCATTTCTTCCAAACTAGCTCTGGGTGGACTTGAACCTTCAACCTTTTGGGTAGCAGCTGCTGCAGTCACTCAGGAATGCTGATGCCCAGAGATTAAATGTCAAGCCCACTAGAAGGTCAAGTAAGGGCCCCAGGATGCTCTTGGGAGCAAACAGTGCTTGATGCCAAGCAGATGCATCCCCACGTGCAACTGTGTCAGTAAGTGGTAGTGTAGATTATAACATTTATTAAAATACTGATGAAAAAATAGGAGTCTCTAGGGTGGACGGAAATGGGCTGGGTGGCAGGGCATTTAGGGTTTCCCTGCTTTCTTCAGCTGTGCCTTCTTCTTCTTCTTCTTCGCCTCACCCTGGAGGAGGCTGGGGCTCCCATTGGCCAAAGCCAGCTTTGCCTTTTTCTGGGGTGGGGTGAGCTGTGGCAACTCACCCGAGAGCCCCTTCTGGGGCCTTTTGCCAGCAGACTCTGCAGGAGGAGCTCCATTCACCTGGGAGAGCTTCCGCTGCTTCTTCTGAAGCTTGGGGGTCTTGGCAGGGGCACTGGGGCTTTTGGTGGGGCTGGCAGAGGCGCTGGGGTTTGTGACAGGGGTACTGGGGGTAGGACTCTGGGTGCCAGGCTCCCCGTTGGACTGTGACTGGGCGGAGGCCTTGGCTGGCTTCCTGTGCCGCCGCTTCTTCTTGCCGGAGCTGGGGGGCTGGTTTTCACTGGCGGCTGCTGGCTTGGCATCTTCTCCAGCAGCATCTTCTGGTTTGCGTTTCTTGCGCTTCTTAGTCTCTGGCAAGAATCCCTTTTTCTTCCGCTTCAAGCTAACGGGATTCTGGGAACCACTGGGGGTTTCCTTGGCATCCTTCTTTTCTGACTTGGGGCGTCTGGAAGGAAGCAGGCAAAAGTGAGAAAGGATCTAGTGAGGGGCAGGCGGCCCTCACCCACCACGGTCACATGGGATCTGGCGTTTCCAGCCCCCTCCCAGGGTGTGGGACTGCCTCCGGGACGTACTGCACTCCCAGGAACTTCATGGCCTGCCAGTAGAGGTCATACAGGCGGCTGGACCCGGCTGCGTGCGGCCCCTGCTGCAGGCTCTGCTGCAGGCTCGGCTGGAGGCCCTGCAGCAGCCCCAGTATGCCGGTCAGGTCCACGGTCAGCTTCTGGAGGGGAGAGAGGCAATGATGGAGGTCTCATAAGGTTCCCAAGTCTTGACTCACTGACCACTCCCCAACATCTGGACCCTCATCTTCCCCCTCTGTCCATAAATAAGACTCTCACCTTGGGGAGGGAAAGCACCCACTTCTGGCTCTTGTCCCCTCTTCCATAGGCATGCCTGCAGCCCCCCCCCACCCAGGACCCTCACCTCCCGCTGATGCTCCGCCCCCAGCAGTATCTGGCACAATCACTGAAGAGGGCAGGCAACATGACTTCAGGGGTGTCAAAGCTCTTCTGTGGTTCACCTTCCCACCACATAGAGTGTTGTCATTTTCTAAGCCCCTGACTCCCATGACATGCTCTCTCCTGGTGCCCTTTCTATGTTGCCGTTCTGCAGGGTCCATTGGGAGCCCTGCCTCACATCGCCTGGCCAGCTTCCTTCCTTCCCAGACTTACCCAGCATCTATACACCAAGGACCCCACACTCTTCTGCCTGCACCAGACCTGAGACCCAGATCCCTACTGGCAGCTATAACTGGCCCCCACCTTGATGCCTCATGAACTCTGCTCATCATCCCCTGCTGTGCTCCCAGCAACGCTCAACCTCCTCTCAGGTTTAGAAACCTGGGGCCATGCTGGGCTTTCTGCTAATGGCTGCCCACATGGATGATCAGCTCTTCCCACTGTCTCCAGCCCTTCTAGGACCTTCCTGGTGCTTTTAAAACGTTAATGGTATCATCAACATCCCCTCCAACCCTGGCCAGTCTTTGAATGGCTGCTCCTCCTGTCCCACTCAACACCACCCCCATGCACCCAGATACAAAGCGTGTACTCCTCCAAACTCATCCCAAGCCTCTGTTCAGCCCTCCCATCCCCAGGAGCCCGAGGCATGGTGGCGCCTGCCTCACCTGCAGGTGGACGGTTTTGAGGAGTATGATGAGCAGCTCTAACGAGGACAGCTCCCTCTGCTGCTCCAGCTTGGCCTGCGCTGTCCCCAGAGTCCGCATGTTCTAGGAAGGAGGTGGGGAAGCTGCTGAGGGGCTTCGCTGATGCCTCCCCTGCCTTTTGAGGCCTAGAAAGAGATGCCTCCCGGTCCCCCAGCCCATGCTCCCTATGGGGTTGAGGGAGAGGTTCTCGGCCGTTACCTCCGTGACCTTTGCGAGGACCTGGCTGATGAGCTGTTCCCACTCGGAGCCCTCAAAGCAGCGCTTCAGCTCTCCCATGGACAGGGCCTTCTGGAGCAGCTGGCAGGCCTGTGACTGGGGTGGGGACGGGAGTGGTCACCAGGAGCCTTAGCAGGCAAAGCCAAGACTGAGGGACCCACAGGGAGAGTCCCAGAGCTCGGGGAGCCCGCCAGGAACCCAGTAAGGCCAAGACAATCCCAAGCTGCAGGTCTGGCTACTCTAGGTCCAGCCTGCTGGACTGTCCCCCAGAGCTCTGAGCTTTGCTACTGCTTGCCACCTCTTGCATAGGTGAGGACAACGGGCGTGGGGAGCAGCATGGGCTCAGAGCTAGACTCAGCCAGAGTCTCTGCCCTCTTACCAGCTCCCTCCATCTTCCCCTGACCTGCATACCTCATCCCCAGCCTGTACAAACTGTAGAAGCCTCTCAAGGAGGAACTGGAAGCTCAGGTCAGAGAAAAGCAGCAGCACTGGGGCAAAGCAGTCAGCTGGACCTGTCCTTCTCCTAAGCCACTCTGCTTACAGTGGTGGCCCAAGCATGGTCCCTTCAGGGAGCATACACCAAGGCCTGGATTGCTGGGACTGGACTGAGGCCACCCTCAACCCAAGAGGGGAGCAGATCAGCACTCTCAGTCCACACCAAGAAGGTGGAGACCAGGTAACTCATCCTTACCTGCTGGCGAGGCTGTGCTGGGCTTGTCACATGCTGGACCATGACAGGGAGCAGGCTCTTACACAGGACCTAGGAAAGGGGACAGGGCTGTGAAGAGGGCCAGCTTGACCTGGCCGGGGGACAGGGCCGTGACAGGGGTTGGCCCCACACTCACCGGGTGCCGGCAGAAGAGGCTGAGGAACATGGGGACGGTCAGTGGACTGTTGCGCTTGGTCAGGAAGGAGCTCAGTGCTGAGGAGTAGACCTGGGCCACACGGTTCACATCCAAACAGCTGGTAGCCTAGGCAAGGACAGAAAGAACTGACGTGCCAGGGAGAGGGGTGTCTGGCTGACCTTCAGAGGGAGGAGGGTTCAGTCCTGGCAAAGGCATAGCTTTGATGCCCCTTCTGTGAGATGGGCAGGTAGCCTCCAACCCTCTGGGCTACCTGGAGCTCTTCCTCCTCCAGCCCCCTGGACAGGCCTGCTTACCTCTGGGGCCTTAGCCTTGGCTTTCTGCTTCTTTGGGGTCTTGGGAGGTGGTTCACTGGGGGTGTTGCCTTTCAATACCCGGAGCAGGTAGAGGGAGGCGTTGAAGTAGTAGAGGGCGATGGAGGAGTCGGCCTGGCGGCCAGCCTGCTCCACCAGCCGCTCTACCTGTGCGTGCAGCGCCTCCACGTGGTTGCCGACGTCATGACAGTAATGCCTGGCGCGGCAGAGGTCGTGCCTGTGGGGTGGGGCCGGAGCTCGCTGAGCTAACCCAAGTGTCAGAACAGAGGCATCCCCCACCCCCACCTCCGTGCAGACCCCACTATCCACAGCGGCCTCTCTTTGAGCCAACAGTCTTCGGGTCCTGAGTAAATGATGGCAAGGCCATGCATCCTAAATGCCAAGAGGCAGGTCTCCCAGCAAACTGGGTAGCAGAGAAAAAGAGCTGAGCACACCTCGGGGTAGGCACAGAAGACATGCTGGCAGCCACACGCCCACTGCCTCCTACACGAACACTTATGGCACCCCATATCTCTAGTCCCTTGCAACCCAGATCCTGAAGGCAGGTCTGGCTGTGGCTCTTACTCTGTCTCTCTGGATGCTTGTGGCCACTCTGGCCATCAGTTAGCCTTGAGCCAGGCAGACCCAGAAGGGACCCTCTCTGCAGTCCCAGGTCCAGCCCCCACCCCACTCACGTGAAAATGCGGGCCGTCTTGTGCAGGAAGTCCTGCTCCTGCTTGGAGCTGCTGCTACGCATGCTGCGCCGGATGATGGTCAGCAGCGGCTCGAGAAGCTCCAGGACCAGGGGATTCTCAGGCTGCTTTGTCACCAGCACCTCGACCAGGTCCAGCACCTGCGGCCAGGAGGGGTGGGCTCAGCTAAGCACAGGAGCGCGTTCAGGGCAGGGGCTGGGCGACAGGGCTCGGGCCGGGGTGCGTGGCTCACTCACCCTGATCTGGAAGCCTCGCCGGAGCGCCTTCTCCTTCTGCAGCTTGTCCTTCTCGTCCTTCTTGGCCTGGATGCGCAGCTTCTGCTCGGCGAAGAGGCTGGCGAGGTTCTGGTCCAGGGCCATCATGGCCTCGTCCCCCAGCTCCTCGTCGTCATCACTGTCCACTCCGCCCTGAGAGGCAGATGTGCAGCCATGAGCCTGGTGCCACATGGGCCCACAGATGGGCAGACAGATAGGCAGACAGGTCTGAGACGAGACCCCCAGGGCCCTGCTCACCAGCGCCTTCCCCTTCTGCAACACAGCCATCAGCTGCTCCCGGAAGCCCTGGTCCACGTCCCCGTCCAGCGCCTCCTCGTCACTCTCCTCGCCATCGCTCTCCTCCTCCTCCTCACTGTCTGAGTTGTCTGAGTCCTGGTCCTCGTCCTGTGGGCGAGAGCCGTGTCAGGCCTCTTCTCCGCCTGCCCTGTGTCTGCCCACAGCAGCCCACCCTGCCTCTCACTGGCAGCAACCTTTTCCATCTTCATTTCCAGCTGCTTCTCATCAGAGTCATCTGTGACCATCACGCTGTCATCTTCTTCCTGGCTCTTCTCAGGGTTCAGCACCTGCAGGGCACCCAAGACTGCTAACCCATCTGCTGCTCTTGTCCAAGTCACATTGCCACAAGCTCTACAGTCCAAACCCACAGCTCCCCAGCCCACCTGCTTCCTAAAGCGCACAACTTCTTCTTGGGAACCCTTCCTTCCCCAACCCCAACAGTAAACCCTGAGAGAGGACCTTCCGCCCATGGGACCTGTTTCCATCTCTCTTAAAGGGGATGATTCAGTGATTTTGCCCTCTCTGCGGGGCTTTGGTGAGGCTGTTGGGGTAGAGGATAGCAGGGCACCTCCTAATTCAGCCTGGTGCTTTAGTGGACCTATATCCCAGAGCATAGGTCCCAAAGGCCCCAACTCACATCTAGAATTAAGTGCAGGGCACGTGGCGTCAGGTGAGAGCAGACATGACCAAACACAGTCCGCGCCACCTGGCGCATCAGGTGGCTGGGCTGGGCCAGCAAGGACAGCAGGATCTCCACCAGCACCTCGACCCACGGTGGCTCCTGGGGCTCTGGAAAGCAGGAAAGGGGCTGAGCTGGGCAGTTCAGGACACTGCTGGCCAGTTAGCCCCAAGCTGGGCCCATTCTGCCGGGGGCACGCCCATCCCCTGACCCACAGTCGATGATGTACCTGTGGCCTTGGAGCGGGTCCGGTGGGGCTTTTCCTCCAGACTCTTCTTGATGCAGGTCTGGATGTCGCCCAGGAGGTCACAACTCTCTGAGGGGGACTGTGGACAGAAGGGTGGAAATCAGGGGTCAGGCCCTTTCCCAAGGCTCTGCTGAGGCAACCAGGGAGCTGGCTAAGAAGCAGCTGGTGCCAGAGGCCCAGAACACACTGATGCTGGCTGCCCTGGCCAGTCACCTTCATAATCCAGAAGAGAGGACCCCCCGCAGATGCCAGAGATCTTCAGCCAGATACCTAGTCACAGGATGTGAGTGCTCTCAGGGAGCAGGGAACCCACCTTGTTTCCCTACTGGTACCCAGCCAGGTAGAGCTGACAAGGACAGACAGAGGTCAAGGTCATAAAGAAGTCAGAAGTTAGGCCTTCCTGTTCTAAATTCTGGATTATCCAACCCCCTCCTCCCCAATTTAGCTTGACAGTATGAAGACAGAAGTGAAATCAACAAATAAAACTGCATTACATTTAAGCCAATTTAACCCTATCCAGGAGAACAAACAGGTTCATCCTGGAGAGGGTGAAGCCAGGCTGCTCGTTGGAGGCAAGGATTCTGAAGCTTCGTCTGACATACTCTGGGCATATTGCAAGGAGGGATCAGTCTTTGAAGAGGGATGTCATGCTTGGAGGGGTGGAGCATTGAGAGAAAGACTCTCAATGAGATGGACTGATTCAGTGACTGGGGCAATGCAGATCAGTGTGTCAGAGATTCTAAGGTTGGCACAGGATAGAGAAGGGTTCAGCGCTATTGTACACAGGGTCACGATGAGTCACAAGCGACTTGATGGCACATAACAACAAATGTATCCTAGGAATATGGCTAGACTCTAGCCACCAAATAGGAGTTAGGAGGCCTACTGGAAATATGACTCAAAAATAGTCAGCAGCTTCGCTATTTAGGCTGAGAGCCCAGGCCACACACCATCTCTGATGTTCTGGCTCTGTGACCAAAAGGTCTCTGTCCTTCTCTGAGCTATACTATTCTGCCAGGTTTGAACTTCGCTGAATTCCAGCTGCCTCTTTCCAGACCAGCTCGTGCTCTCCAAGAACAGGACCTTTGTAGACGTCATCAAGACCCAAGCCAAACACCCTGGCCTCAAGTTGATTCTGACTCAAGACAACCCTTCACAGCCTTTCTGAGGCTGTAAATCTTTATGGCAAAAGACCACTCATTGCTTTTTTTTTTTTTTTAAATTTTTGAAAGTGGACTGCCAGGACTTCCTTTCTAGTATTTTTTTTTTTATTTTATTATTGTGTGTTTGTGTACCGTCAAATCAGGTCTTACGGGCACAGGAGAAGATTGCCCCTCCTTTTCCAGCAGAGCATCTGGTGGATTTGAACCTCTGGGACTGCAATGCAGCTTCTTTGCCACTAGGCCACCAGAGCTCCCTTACTCATTGTTTTCTCAAAAACAACGTGGGGGACTTGAACCACTGACTTCTGGTAGCAGGTGGACATATTACACGCCAGACTACTGCACAATCAGCACAGCTAAGCAGCCAGAATGAAGTAACCCAATCTACTAAGAAAGGAGACCCCTCGAGGACAACAGGGCTTACAGACAAGGGGAAAGCAAGTGCCAAGCTGGAAAGAAGAGTAAGACAGACCTCACAGCTCTCTAGGAGCCAGCATTACGGGAGCACGAATAGAACCTGTAACAAATGCAGGCACAAGAACCCAGAGGGGAAAAACTCTGCACAGCCAACAAGTACAGTGGGTCAGAGCAAAAGAGAAAAGCCAGGACCCCACGGAAGAAGAAATGTCCCCTCTGGGTGACCGGTCTCCCTGGAAAGGGACCTCACCTACAGAAGACAGCACTTACTCTTTCACTTCTGTTAGGGTTGAATTGTGTCCCCCAAAACCGACTCAAGCCCAAACCCTGGTGCTTGTGAATGAGACCTTACATGGAAACTAATCTCTGCAGGCAGAATTAACAGGCGGTTTTGCTGCAGTTAGGGTACGCCCTAAATCCAACGACTGGTGTCCTCACAAGGAAAGAACACACATCCAGATGCAAGAAAATACAACGTGAAAACAGAGGCAGTGATCAGAGCGACGTTTTTGAGCTATGAGCCAAAGAACGTGAAGGAGTGCTGTTGACAAGAAACTAGGAGAGCAAGGGAGGCCTCGCCCTCAGAGTGTGACCCGCAGACACCCTGAACTTGGACCTCCGGCCTCTGCAAGACACTGGATTTGTTATTTTAAGCCGTCCAGTGTATGGTACTTTGTGGTGGTAGCTCGAGAAAACCACACCATCCATCACCTCTGGCTGGTGAAGCCCACTTTGGAAGGGCCTGTGGGATATTCCATGTGACCCAGCTATTCCACTACTTGGAATATACCCTGAAAAATGAAAACTGAGACACAAACTGAGATTTGTACACTAATGTTCATAGTAGCATTACTCACCATTGTTAAGTACATGGAAACAGCCCAAATGTCCAACCACAAACGAATAGACTGAGAAATTATAGTATGTATATTCATACAGTGAAATACTATGCAGCACGGAGGAGCAATGACTTTGTAAATTATTACCTAACTTAGGAGGGTCTGGAGAGTGTTATGCTGAGTTAACTAACTCAGTCCCACAAGGATAAATATTGCATAAAACCATTATTGTAGAAGGAGTATAAGAACCCAAGAGGGGTGGGAGTGGCTGGAAGCAGAGGGATGAGGATGTGCAGGGGGAGGGGGAGATCAATCATCGGGTTGTACAATTTGATGGGGGAGTGAGGGAAATTAAAGAATTTGTTTGAATTTTTATTCAAATTTTATAAATAAACTAGTAGAAAAGAGGAAAAAAAGGTCAGAGTCCTACAGTTGAACCCCAGTCAACAGCTGTGCACCTGTAAAGTCGCTTGGCCTCTCTAAATCCACTTCCCTACCTGTCAGATGAGGGGAGGCAGCGCCCACCTCTACTCTTGGGGGGGAAGGGAAAGAGGGTTTATGAGAGGCATTGCCTGGAAAGTTCAGGACACTGGCTGGTCCAAGGATGGAATGACTTCTCTTTGGGTTATAATCCACCCAGGACTGAGTCAGCTTAGGAAACCTTCCAGCTTCACCTTCCTGGAGCTTTCCCTGGTCATACCCGACCTCTCAGCAAAGGCCTTTTATGCCAGACTCTCAGCACCCTGCCGCCACCGTACCTTGAAGAGGTGGATGCCCACCAGGAGGAGCAGGTGATGGAAGGCCCTGGCCTTGACCTCCTTGGAGCGGCCCTCCATCTCCTTCAGCGTCTCCAGCATCCTGGAAAGAAGGGGTGTGCTCTCAGACCACTCTGGTATCAGATCTGAGGGTCCCACTCACCCCATGGACGTCTCCTGCTCACCGGTCCCAGGCCTGGTGCTGCTCTGCAGTGAGGGGTGTCACAGCGGCCACGTTGCGGTTTTGTTTCAACAGCAGGTCTGCAAACTGCACCAGGCGGTAGGTCCAGGGCTGCCCATCTGGGGTCTGGCCCGGTACTGGCTTAAAATGGGTGCTGAGGGCCTGCAGCAGACTAGACGAGGGCCAGGGGTCACAGGGGTGAACCTCCACCCAGCCCAGGCTCAGTTCTCCCACCCCCGATCTACTGGAACTCCCTGATCTTCTGATACTTCTCAATTTACAGTCCTCAAGACCCCCTCTGCCCTGTCATCACCCTCACCCCGTCCACACCTGAAGAAGGCACTGCAGACCACCTCGCGGATTCGGCTCTCCAAGGGGACGGAGGGCTGCTGCTTGGTCTCTGGAATCTGGGACGTGGGCTTCTTGGTTTCAAAAAATGAATGAAACAAGCAGAACCTGGGGAGAAAGGAGTCACCAGCATCATCACTCACAGGCTCCTCTCGTTGGATGGCATCACTGGACACGGTGCCAGAGGGGGAAGGAGCTGGTCTGCTCTGGGCAAACTCCACAGCCTGGGGCGGCCAGCAGTGTCTGGGTGTGAACACGGCCCAGGCCGCAGTGTCTGGGGGTGAACACGGCCCAGCCCGGCAGTGTCTGGGGGTGAACACGGCCCAGCCCGGCAGTGTCTGGGGGTGAACACGGCCCAGCCCGGCAGTGTCTGGGGGTGAACACGGCTCAGGCCACGCCGTGGAGAAAAGAGCAGTGCTCACATCAAAAACTGACCAAGGCCCAGATCATGTGGCAAAGGACAGAGAACGGGGCCAATGAGGTTTCCCTTTGGGACAGGTGACATAGGTGGAGGGAAGAGGCTCCTCTAATACCACTGACGTGAAAAGGCTGCCTGTGGGCACAAGACGAATAAGCTTGCGTCTTCAGGCCTACTGACCCCCTCTTTCCTGGGTCCTTCTCTTATAAGCCTCAGAAATTCTTCTAAATCCTCTGACCCTACGATGGCTTGCTACTCCCCATGTGATCTAAAGGCCTCTAGTTCGGAAGGGGGGCTCCAAACTAGGATGAAGCAACAGGGCCACCTCCTTGGGAACCCCATGTGGGGAGCGGGGCTCAGCTCATCTCCTACCTGGCCACCTCTTGGACCAAGGCCTCCTCTTTTTCCACGTGAGTATTCTCCACAATGCTGACCAGGCGAAGGATGATCCACTTCCGAAGTCGGAACACAGCCCGCTCGGGCCTGGGGGCAGGAGAAGGGGGTCACAGAAGCCAATTAGAGGGGATGAACAGACGGCATCCTCTGCCCCACTTCAGAGACAGGGCAACGAAGAACTGTTGTGCTCTACCATAGGGGGACCACATGCGGGGAGAATGAAGCTTTGGTCCAGCGCTATGGAGCCTACCCACCTCGCTCAGGGTTCAAAGCCAGGCGTTGTGGCTCTGTGAGTCCAGGAAGCCCCCGGCTCCTGGGCCTCCCCAGCCCCACTTACGAATGGAACGAAGGATCCTGGTTTTTCTTCTGGTTGCTGGTGCTGAAGTCAACCAAAGAGTCCAGGTTGGGCTGGAGAAACATGTCCTTCAGCCAGGCCACGTAATCCTTGAGGGCGCGGGGATTCAGGAACTGCACGACCCGCCAGAAGGTGGGCACGACGGGGTGGCCCTGGTTGGTGATGGAGGAGAAGGCCACAACCATGGCCAGCTGCCTCTCTGGGTCATCCTGACAGCCCTCCAGGAAGGCGCCCACATACTCGTCCATCTCAGGGGCAAACTTGAACTGGTTCGGGAGCTGCAAAAGGATGGGTGTGATTGAGGCTGGTCAGCTGTCCAGAGAGGGCAGCCTCACCAGCCTCCTCCACCACATGCTGAACCGCGGCCCAGGGGGTCCCTGGCCCTTGTAACCAGCCTAGATCGCTCTCTACTCCCGTGAGTAAACCTGGGACAGCCTGTCACTCTCACACTTCTGTCTGGCTCCAAGTCTCCCTATATTTTACTCTTCTAAACTCACATGCCCCTGGCTCTAGAGAACCCCCTCCACTGGAAAACAGCGAAGCTCTTTTCCTGGTCTGAGTGATTTAAGAGTCCAGATGGAGCCATCAAATGGCCCTAGGGTCCTATTCCTCCTGACTCTACCATCCTGGGGCTCCGAAGCGAACATCTCACACGTGTTTAGTACGTGCCTAGCACCACACCACATGCCTTCACAGACAAGATTAACTCTCAAAACAACCTGCAGGGTATGGCCACCACCACTGCCATTTCAAAGGTAAAAGAAATAACGAGGGACAAAGAGAGTTTAGAAGCAACTTTTGCAGGGACATAGGGCTCACGAGTGGTGGCAATGGGAACTTAGACCCAGACAGTCTGGTTTCCCATCATGCTCTTAACCACTGCCTAACGCTGTCTGAATTGGTTCCCTCACCCAGGAAGGAAAAATGGCTGAGATTGGAGGTGAAAGCTATACAAGTTTAATAAGGGAAGGAGACAGCACATACAATGACCACTCATACCATACACCAGCTACTGCCCCTAAGACCCTCCGAGTGGACAAGGTGACAGGAACAGAATAGTTTTATGACACAGGTAAAGTCACAAGAGAGTGCAAAAGTTCTAGTTCAGTTCTGAACTCCGCGGTCCGGTCTCCAGATGCCACTGTACTGTCTGACCCTTAGCTGACCCTCCAGTAGGTTTCTGAGGCTATAAATCATAACAGGAGGCTGTCTACCTTTCTCCTGAGGAAGCACTGGTGGATCTGAACCACTGGAGATGTGCTGGCCTATGGGTTGGCAGCACAATTCACTACAGACTACACCACCAGAGCTCCCTAGTAGAACATGCCAAACACCACATTGTTCTTGTCTACCGTGAAGTCAGAAGTGACTCATTGCTGACCCTCCAGTGGGTTTTCAGAGACAGCTGCAAAGGAAAAGACTGCTCATCTTTCTCCCATAGGGCAGCTGGTAGATTTAAACTGTTGAGCCTTTCGGCTGGCAGTGCAACTCCTTACCACTAAGCCACCAGCACTCCCTCCAACACATGTCCATGATCATCGCTGAAACACCAGCAGAGCTTGCTGGCTATATGTACTTCTTGTGGAGAAGGCTCTGACCTTGCCAAACTCCAGGGGAGAGGGTCCACACCGCCTGCTATGCCTGAAGCAGGCCCTCCCTCAGTACCCCTTCTTGGTTAAGAGGCGGTCTGCTACCCACCCCATGCAAGTGGTGTTGTGCTCCATGAGGACACCAACCTTAGCAGTGACCAGGTGTTCCCCGTACAGGTGGATCAGGTCTCCCCGCATCACCAGCTGTAGCTGCTCCTTGGAAAGCAGGGGCAGGGCTGCACCCAGCAGGCGGAAACACAGGTAGCTGGGGGGGTGGGGGAGAGGGTGACAGAGCTTGGTCAGAAACTAGTTCCTGGGGAGACTTCAGGATTGGGACCCTTTTCCACCTCTGCTCAGTAAACAGGGAGTCTAGGGAGTCCAAACCTGGCTGGCAGGAATTGCTTCTTCAGCAGCCCTTGCTCCACGACCTCATTCCAGAACCGAGGGAACTTTTTCTCCTCAAGCGCCAGGCGCAACAGGCCCAGAGCCACAGCGGGCAGTTTGCGTTCCTTCTTCACAGAGGCAGACGCTATCTTCAGCACCTCTACTAGCCTGGAGTAGGAGACAAAGGGGGCTCAGGGACACCTAACAGATGAGGGAACAAGGGCAGCTCCACGGCCCCAGGGAGTCAATCCCCCCCCCCCCCCAACCACTGCTCACCTGGGAATGTTCTCATTTGAAAAGAGATCAACGGCTCCAAATAGCTTCTTCAGCTTCGCAGGCACCTTCTGCCGGGCTAACAAGAAGAGCTCCACGTACTCCGGGGAGCCGAGCACCACACTCAAGTCAGCCTTGAGGACCTCTGGCAGGACCTCCTTCAGCACGGCCTCTGGGACCTAGACAGAGATAGGTTAAGGGATGGTGGCTCAACCCTAGTCTTGGTCTCTCCTTCCAAGAAAGAAGATCTAGGGGCCCAGTGCTACCTGTCAGGAGCCCACGGAGGGCTTCAAACCATATCTTCTGGTTTTTCAGACTGTTAGCCAACTCAGAAGTGACTTATAGCTGACCCTCCAGTAGGTTTTTAGACTCAAAGCTGACCCTCCAGAAGGTTTTTAGAGGCTGTAAGTCACACAGGAGCAAACTGTTCATCTTTTTCCCCCGGAGAAGCTAGTAGATCTGAACCACCTGCCTTTTGAGTTGACAGCACAACTCCATGCCACTAGGCCACCAGATGCCACTAGGCCACCAGAGCTCCATTTTGGGTTTTTAAGGGGACCAAAAATAATCATGCAAACAAATCCAACCACTGGCTGTCAAGTCAACTCTGACTTATGGCCACTCCATGTGTGTCAAGAGTCAAATTGTGCTCCAGAGTGTTCAGAGGCCGTCATTTCAGAAACAGGTTATTGGCCTTTCTTCCAAGATGCCAGATGGATGCGAACTGCCAACCTTAACATTTATTCCTTTGTGCTGCAAGACATTCTTCCGAGTAATGGTCCCCTTCTTATACAGGAAGCTGAGCACCAATAAAGAGAGCTGGAACTGGAACAGAACCCAGGTCCTTCTGGCTCTGACGCTGAGCTGTGTAGAAACCATGACGGCCTCTTGCCTTTATACTCAGTCCACAGAGGTGGCAAAGGGTTCACAGTGCTGGCCTGCCTCAGCTTCCCGAGGAAGGGCGGCCGAGGCTCCGGAGGGTCGTAATAATGCCAAATCTGCATACATGTGTTAGATGGCAGACGCTGTCCAATATAGTGGCCACAAACAACTGGCGGCTACCGAACACTTCATATGGGACTAATCTGAATAAAGATGGACGATGAGTGTCTAACACTTTGTATTTTTAAGAAAAGAATGTAAAATGCCTCCACGAATCAATTTCAACCCACACTGACTGCATGTTGGAACTACAGACTATAGAAAAAGTAGGTTAATATTAAATGGAAAGTACAGGAGGTTAGAACCAGAGGTAGAGGTGTCTGTGAGAAGTAGTAAAAATCAAACAGAGGTACCTGCATGTCTTAAATCTTTTAAAGACATGATGGCTCTAGGTGATGAGCAACAACAGACATAACTAGTAACAAATTACTGCCACTTGTTTCTTTTTGTTCTCTAATGCAGTTACTGAGGGAGCTCTGGTGGTCTTGTGGCAAGAAGCTGCACTGCAATCCCGAAGGCACATGGTTTGAGACCAGCAGCTGCTGCTCTATGGGAGAAGGATGGGCAATCTCCTCTTGTGCAATTAACTGCCTCTGCAAACAGGCTGGAGGGTCAGCAATGGGTCAGTTCTGACTTCGGTATTAACAACAACAATGCAGAAGTTTTAAAAGGAGACCCAGGCTTTGCCTGTATATTTCTATCAGACAATCCTACTTAGAGTGTTCTTATCCACTGATTTTCACTTTCCCACCATGTTTCTAGTAGGGAGCCCAGTTCACAGTGGCATGGGCAGCAGGCTCATACCTCAGAGAGGATGTCCACCAGGGCCTTCTGGGGCTGCTCCTGTAAGTGGTTGCGGTGCTGGGCCAGGATCTGCAGCAGCTTTATAGACTTCATCAGTGCCTCCTGGTTCTAGAAGGCACAGACAGGGGGCAGAGGATGTGAGCTGCTAGCCCCCAGCACCCTCACGCCAGGCTGTACACCCCAGCTGAGAAAATCTAGGTCTGGAAAGCTCTTACCTTCACGAGCCGACCTGACTGAAAGAGGGCCAACACTCCAAACAGGTGTGCGAAGAGAGCAGGCCTCACCATGGCCTAGAGAAGGATTTGGGGAAGAAGAGCTCAGGTTCCACAGTTCCTGTCCATCATCGCCACCTCCCCACCCCATGCTACCCATAATCTCTCACCTTCTTCACGTTCTGCAGATCATACTTCTCTTGTATTTGCTCCAGGATGCTACATAAAGGAATCTCTTCGAAAGACTGTAACACCTGCCAGGTGTGATGAGGGGGAGAGGGCTCAGCGGTGCTGCCCCACCACATCCCAACAAACTCAAGTTCTTTGGCCTTCTGGCTCATTCCTCACACACAAGAGTACCTACCGCCCCACCCATGCACCAGAAAACTTGCTCAGTCTCCATCTCCACATCCCTTAGCTTTAGTCACACTTGTGGACGTCCTGTGCCTCCACGTGGTAAACTTCCCTTCAAGAGGGGCTTCAGATATCACATACTCAGCCTCTCCCTCAGACACCCCTCTTCTGACAGGTAAGCCACCTGCTCCTCACGCATCTATGGTTTAGACCCAAATGACTCAAGACCCCTTCCCACCGTCCATAGGAAGCACGACCTCACCTGTGCAAGGGCCAGGCTGTAACAGGGTCGGGCAGTCTCTCGGCCGCCCCCGAGCCCAGTGATCAGGCGCTTCAGAGCATATTTCATCTCGGATTCCTGTAGAAAAAACCGCAAACCAACCTCGTGGGACGCGTAGCCCGAGGCGGCCCGAGGCGGCCCGCGCCCGCCCGGGATCTCAACTCAGACCCCGTGTCTGCAGTCCCAGCCCCGACCCACGCTCAAGCTCCGGGACTCCACAAGCCTCCGTACGATCTGCTCGGCCCCTCGCCCCGCATCCGCCCAGCCCACCTTCGGCCGAGTGCGCAGGTACTCCAGCAGCTTCTCCGTGGCCTTCAGCCGCGTCTCCTGCTCTGGCTTTGCGATGTCCCAGAAGAAATCCAAGAACTCGCGACTGTGTTGCAACAGGTCATGGCGGTCGGCAGACCCGGCGCCGTTTTTAGCCGCCTCCCCGGGAGACATGGGTTCAGCCATGTCCATAGCCTCTGTCTCCGCCATGCTCCACGAACACGTGGGCGCTAAGTACTGCCTCTTCCAGGTCAGGTCTCCGCGCAGACGCACAGCCTTACAGCTCTGGGGAAAAAAGACCTGACAGAGCCTGGGAGGGGCGGGCGTGGGCGGGACCGGATATTGGGCGGGGCGGACACGGGCGGGGTGGGGCGGGCGCTGGGCGGAGCCTGGCTAGAGCAGAATCATGCCCCGCCTCCCTTCCATTTTCCCTGCTGTGCTACTTACATGCTTCCTCTCTCCCTCATTTTTCCCCTCTCCCCAGACAGCTGAGACGTCAGCCTCTCTAGTACCCCACTGGGAGCTTTTCTGAGGGCTCATCTCATTAAATCAACTCAAGCAGAGCAAATTCCTCTATCTCGTCCCGGAGGGACGCCCTGAACACCATCATGGAATATCTGTGTTGTAAACTGTAAACACCAAGTCACTGCTGTCAGTGGTTTCTTTTCCAGCGTGGAAGGAGACAGCTAATAAGTAACCAAACAAACTTAAAAAGATAATTATTATGAAGAAAAAACGCAAGACTTTAAATTATTTCCCAATTATGTTCTAAAAACTAATGATAGTGTTAAATTAGACTTAAAGCTTAGAGGAAAGTATAACTCCTTGACCTTGAGTTTTCCTCCTAGGGTGACCCTCTATTGAGATCATAAATCTTTATGGGAGCAGATGACTTCATTGCTTTCTTACTAAGAGACTCATGGATTTGAACCTAGCACCCGACTTGTTAGCATTCCAGCATGTAAAGTACTTCACCGCCTGGCCGCCTTGAACAGGAAACTATTTCCCCCTCCTCCATCCTGGTAGTAATATTTTCTGGTTTTGCCATCCACTTGTTAAAATTGAATCCTTAAACTCTCTCAAACTCATTGCCCTTGGAGTCAGGAGTGACTCATACCTGACCCTCAGCTTGGATTTCTGAGGTTATAAATCACTATCTTTGCAGATACATTACTAGATAAATCATAGAGTTTACAACGTGTTTTGACAAAGACATAGTGTCATTACAGTATCACACGGAGTGACTTCACTGCACTAAAATGGTTCTGTGTCCCATATATCCATCTTCCTTCCCTGAGGCCCTGGGATCACTGATCTCAAGATCACTATAGTTTTCTCTTCCCCACAAAAGTGTCTAGTTGGAGTCGTGTAGTATGTAGCTTTTACAGGCTGAATTCTTAGTAATATGCATTTATGGTTCCTTCATGTCTTTTCATAGCTTGAAAACTTTCTTATCACTGAGTAATATGTTCAAACAATATTTGAAGCACACAAATACATCGTCACCTACTAAAAGCTCTGGTTTTCACAATTACAGACAATGACTAAAGAATGACAGAAGAAGAATTGATGCCTTTGAGTTGTGTTGCTGTAGAAGAGTCTTGGACATACCACGGACCATCAAGAAAGCAAATAGGTCTGTCTTGGATAAGGTGAAACCAAGTTTATCCTTGGAGGCTAGGATTTTGAAGCTCTGGCTCACATACTTTGGGCATATGGCCAAGAGGGGCCGATTCTTGGAGAAGGACATTATGCTTGGAAGGATGGAGGGGCAGCACAGGAGAGGAAGACCCCGAATGAGATGAACTGATACAGTAACTGAAAAAATGGGGGTAAGGTGTGTCAGAGTCAGTGAGACTGGTTCAGGATAGGGCAGGCTTCAGATCTGTTGTACATAAGATCATTATGGGTAGCAAGCGACTCGATGGCACAGAACAACAACTTAAAACTCTTAAAAGTCATTGCCATCCAGCTGGAACCAACTGATAGCTGACCCTCCAGGGGTTTCTGAGGCTGTAAATCACAGAGGAAGACAAAATACTGAAGGGAAGGTGTGGAGATGATGTTTGAGGCCCCCTGACGGGAAAAGCAAGGAGTGAAGAGATCCTAAGACAGAGAACACCCTAGCAAAGGCTCCAAGGCTGGGTGAGTGAGGCTGGCAGGGTGGGACAGGATTCTGGCAGGACCTCAGGAGTTTGGATTTTATCCTGCATATCTCTCCAAAGTCCTGAAGAGCAATGTCAGTTTAAAGAACAAAGTATGCCTGATTCAGTTCATGGTCTTTTCAATTACCTAAAGCATCTGAGAACTGGACAATGAATAAGGATGATAGAACCTCTTCTGAGTTTGTTGTTGGACAAGAATACAGACTATCCCATGGACTGCCAAAGAACAACTATGTTTTAGAGGAAGTGCAACCAGAGTGCTCCTTACAGGCAAAGATGGTGAAGGTTTTTGTCTTACATGCTTTGGGCATGTTGTTAGGATAGGTTATTCCTTGGAAAGGTGGAGGGTCAGTGAAAGAGAGGAAGGCCACAGTGAGATGGGTTGACACCGTGACTGCTGCAATGGGCTTAAGTGTGTCAGAGATGGAAAGGATGGTACAGGATAGGACAGGGTTCAGATCTGTGGTTCATAGAGTCGCTATGAGTTATACTTGACTCAGCAGCAACAAACAGCAAAAATAACATGGTGGTGTAATCAATAAAATAATCAAACAAGTTAAATGCAAAAGTTGACCATGTGGATCATAACAAATTATGGATAACATTGAAAGCAATGGAAATCATAGAACACTTAGTGCTCATGCACAAACTATATCTAGGTTGAAAGGCTTATTTGTGCAAATAGCAAGGAAACACCAAATGATGTAAAATCAGGAAAGGTTTGTGTCAGGACTGCTATCTTTTTCTCTATACCTATTAAGTCTGTATGCTAAGCATATCATTGGAGAAGCTAGACTATATAAAGAAGAATGTGGCATGAGGATAGGAGGAAGATTCACCAACAACCTGCTTTATGCAGATGAAACAACCTTGCTTGCAAAAGGTGAAGAAGACTTGAAGCACTGCAGGAGATAAAATATTATAACAGTGTTCATATGAACTTAGTTCCTATGGATTACATCTCAACATGAAGAAAACAAAGATCCTCTCACTAAACCAATAGGCAATTTCATAATCAATGGAAAAAAGACTGAAGTTGTCAATTATTTAATTTTACTTGGATTTACAATCAAAATCCATGGTAGTAGAAAACAAAAAATCAAAAGATATGTTGTGATGAGAAACTCTGTGGTCAATGATTTCTCCAAAGTGCTAATGAGCAAGGATGTTGTTGTTATGTGTCATTGAGTGACCTGTGACTCATAGCGACCCTATATACAACAGCTCTGAGGCCTACCCTGTTCTAAGCCAGTCTCATGAATTCCAACACACCTACCTCCATTGCCCCAGTCACTGTATCAATCCATTTCATCTGGGATCTTCCTCTCTTGCACTGTCCATCCACTGTTCCAAGTATGATGTCCTTCTTCAACTATCCCTTCTGGCCATATGCCTAAAGTATGTGAGACAGAACTTCAAAATCCTAGCCTCCAAGGAGAAACTTGATTTGGAGACAGGATGCATCCCTAATGGACTCTTTTCCTAACTTTGTACCATGCATTGTTTCCCTGCTTTGTTCTGAGGACTGCTTCCTGATCCAAGTATAGGTTTTGCATAAGCACAATCAAGTGTTCTGGGATTCCCATTCTCCTCAATGTTAACCACAATTTGTTGTGATCCACACTGTCAAATGCCTTTGCATAGTTAATGAAACACAGATAGATATCCCTCTGGAACTCTTTGCTTTCTGCCAAGATCCATCTGACATTGGCAATAATGTCTCTAGTGCTATGACCTCTTCTAAACCCAGCTTGTATTTCTAGTGGTTCTCAATGTACTGTTCAAGTCATTTCTGGATAATCTTCAGCATGATTTTGCTTGCATGTGATATGAGTGACATTTTACGATAATTTCCACACTCTCTCGTGTCACCTTTTTTTTGGAATGAGAATCAATATGAATCTCTTCCAGTCAGTTGACCAGATAGTTGTCCTCCAGATTTCTTGGCACAACCTGATGAGCATGTCCAGGACAGCATTTTTTGTTAAAATGTGCCAATTGTTATTCCATCAATTCTTGGGGCTTTATTTTTTTGTCAAGTCCTTCAGAGCAGCCTGAACTTCCTCCTTCATCACCATTGTTTCTTGATTATATGTTGTTTCTTGACGTTCTTCTTTGTCAGCCAATTCTTTTTGGTCCAGTGACTCTGTATATTCCTTCCATGTCAGTTTAAATACTAAGGCATGATGAAGCCAAGTCATGGTATTTTTAATTGCTTCCTAAGGATCTGAAAGTTAAACAGTGCATGAGGAAGACCAAAGAAGAGTCAATGCCTTTGAGTTGTGGTGTTGGAGAAAAGTACTGAATACCTCATGGACAGAAAAACCAAACAGGTCTGTCTTGAAGGAAGTACAACCCCAGTGCTCCTTAGAGACCAGGGTGGTGAAACTTTGTCTCACATACAGTTGCTCAAGGGCCAGTTCTTGGAAAGAAGATGTCATACTGAGAAAGAAAGAGAGGAATGGCACTCTGGTGGCATAGTCTTCAGTCCTGCTAACACAAAGGTTGCACTTCTCTGGGAGTTCAAATCCACCAGATGCTCCATGGGAAAGATGTCGTTTAGGGAGCTCTGGTGGCCTAGCGGCAAAAAGCTGCACTGCAATCCCAGACGTGCACGGTCCTAATCCACCAGGTGCTCTGCTGTGGAAGGAGGGGCAATCTCCTTCTGTACTAGTCAGATTTGATTTGACGGTACACACAAAAAAATAATAAAATTTTTTAAAAAGGAAGGAAGGAAAAAAGGAAAGAAGGTAGGAAGGAAGGAAAAAAGGAAAAAAGGAAGAAGGAAGGTAGGAAGGAAAAAAGGGAAGAAGGAAGGAAGGAAAGAAAGAAAGAAGGAAGGAAGGAAGGAAAGAAGGTAGGAAGGAAGGAAAAAAGGAAGAAGGAAGGTAGGAAGGAAAAAAGGAAGGAAGGAAGGAAGGAAGAAAAAGAGAGGAAGACCTTCAATGAGATAGAATGACACAGTGACTGACACAATGGGCTCAAGCATGTTGGAGATTGTGAGGATGGTGCAGGATACAGCAAGATTCAGATCTGCTGTCCTTAAGGTCACTACGTGAACTTCAAGAATTGATCAAAGTTATAGAAAGGCTTTGGTTCTTTTGTTTATAGAGTCACTATGAGTCGTGCTCAACTTGATGGCAATCAACAACAACAAAAACATGAGTCTTAGTCAACCCACAGGCACTGAACAACAACATAATGAGAAGTCATAGGAAAATCTTATGAAGGGGACAAGCCTTAATCAGACTTCAGTTCGGAAAACATTACCCTAGCAGCTATGCTGAGGAAGGAATGTAAAAGGACAAAGATAGAAGCCGTGGCTCTTTACTCCTCATCAATCGGACAGATAGCCCTTTCTTCTCATGCAGCCTCAGCTGCATCCCTGAGTCAGGGAATGAAGGGATTTGGCTGCGTTGGATGCCTGGTCACCAGGGCTGCTTTTAACTCTGGCCAAGTGGATGTTGTTGCCATCAATGACCCCTTTATTGACCTCAACTACATAGTCTATATGTTCTGGTATAATTCTACCTATAGCAAGTTCAATGGCACTGTCAAGGCTGAGAATGGGGAGCTGGTCATCAAGGGGAAAATCATAACTACCTTCTAGGAGCATGATCCTGCTAATATCAAATGGGGTGATGCTAGTGCTGAGTATGCTGTGGAGTCCACTGGTGTTCTTCACAACGTTGGAGAAGTCTGGGACTCATCTGAAGGGTGGTGCCAAATGGGTATCTCTGCTCCTTCTGCCGATGCCCCCATGTTTGTGATGAGAATAAACCATGAGAAGTGAACAACTCTCTCAAGATTGTCAGCAATGCCTCCTGCACCAGCAACTGCTTGGTGCTCCTGGCCAAGGTCATCCATGACAACTTCGGCGTCAAAGAGGGACTCATGACCACAGTCCATGCCATCACTGCCATCCAGAAGACTGTGGATGGCTTCTTGGGAAAGCTGTGGCGTGATGGCCATCGAGCTGCCCAAAACATCATCCCTGCCTCTGCTGGTGTTGCCAAGGCCACGGGCAAGGTCATCCCTGAGCTGAATGAGAAATTTACTGGCACAGACATTGTGTCCCCATCTCCAATATGTCAGTCATGGATCCGACCTGCCATCTGGAGAAAGCTGTCAAATATGATGACATCAAGAAAGTAGTGAAGCAGACATCAGAAGGCCCCCTCAAGTGCATCTTACACTGCAGACCAGGCAGTTTTCTGTGACTTTAACACTCTGTGACACCCACTCTTCCACCTTTGGCGGTGGGGCTGGTATTGCCCAGAATGACCACTTTGTCAAACTCATTTCCTGATACGACAATGATTTTGGCTACAGTGACAGGGTGGTCAACCTGATGGTTCACATGGCCTCCAAAGAATAAGAGCTCCTTGGACCACCAACCACAGCAATAGCGTAAGAAGAGAGAGAGACCCTCATCTGCTGAGGAGTCTTGGCCCCAACTCAATCCTGCCACACACTGAGAAGTTCACATTCATGACACAGTTTCCAATCCGTCCCCTTGAGAAAGGAGAGGGCCTTAGAGAGCCCATCTTGTCATGTACCGTCAATAAAGTACATTGTTGTTGTTATATGCTGTCGAGTCACCTCGACTCACAGTAACCCTACATACAACAGCCCTAAACCCTACTCTATCTGTGCAATGTTACTGTCTCTGACACACCTACTGCCATTACCCCAGTGACTGAATCAATCCATCTCCTTGAGGGTCTTCCTCTCCTGCACTGCCTCTCCACCCTCCCAAGCATGACGTCCCTCTCCAAGGACTGACCCCACCTTGCAACATGTCCAAAGTATGTCAGACAAAGCTTCAGAATCCTTGGCTTCAAGGAGCAGCCTGATTTCACCCTCTCCAGGATGAATCTGTTCTCTTTGCAGTCCATGGTATATTCAATACTCTTCTCCAACACCACAGCTCAAAGGCATCAATTATCCTTTTATTATCCCTAGTCATTGTCCAGCTCTCTGATGCATAGCAAGTGATTGCAAAGACCATGGTCTGGATCAGGCACACCTCAGTCTCTAGACTGACATCATTGCTCTTCAGTACTTTGGAGAGGTCTCTGACAGCAGATTTTCCCAATGCAATATGTCTTTTAATTTCCTGGCTGCTGTTGCCAAGAATGTTGATGTGGAGCCAAGCAAACTAAAGCTGTTTATAATCTCAATTTCTTCACCATCCATCACAATACTGACAATTGTCCCAATGGTAAGAATCTTTGTTTTCTTGATATTGAGCTTCAATCCATACTGAAGGCTGCAGTCCTTGACCCTCTGCAGCAAGTGCTTCATGTCCTCCTCAGTTTCAGCAAGCAGGGTTGTGTCATCTTCATAATGTAGCTTGGTGTCTTGCCTGAAAGCACGGAGTGCCAGAGGAATGTTTATCTGTGTTTCATTGACTATGCAAAGGTGTTTGACTGTGTAGACCACAACAAACTGGCTGACTCTGAAAAGAATAAGAATCCCAGAACACTTGATTGTGCTTATGAGAAACCTGTACTTGGACCAGAAGGCAATTGTCAGAACAGATCAAGGAAACACCGCATGGTTCAAAATTGGGAAGGGTGTACACCAGGGATGTGTCCTATCTTAATGCCTTTTCAATCTATATGCAGAACAGATTGTCTAGGAGTCTGGTCTCTATGAGGAGAAATGTGGCATCAGGATTGGAGGAAAGTATACTGTACCCAGGGGAAAAAAAAAGAAAGAAAAGAAAAGAAAAGCATCGAAGACGTAAGACATGTTGGAAATGCTGACTTGAGTGATGCACCCAGAGACACTTGGTTGAAAGGCTTGTTCTGCTTCTGAAAAGTCAGTCACTGAAACTTCTATGAACTTTTCACCTCTTACTCTCTTTTTATTTTATATTGATTTGCATTCAAAATTCATATACATTGAGTATTACTCATATATATTGTGTTTCACACATTCTTATATGCACATTATGTTTCAAACAATCTCTGGCATACATTGTGTTTTATAAAATTTATCACCATTGATCTATCCTACTATTACCTCATCTCTTCGGGTCCCCATTGGATCTTTTCTAATTCCTTCACCCACACACACTTCACTCACCTGTTTTAACTCTGTTATCCTAGTCATTTCCTCCCTGCCCTACCACTTGCCCCTCGCTACCTCTCCTTCCCCTTTTCGTCTTTTATTCACATCTTACTAGTTATCTGAAACACCTATGAACTTTTAAAGAATTACCAACAAGGGATCAAACTAGCAATGATAATTTGAAAAGGTTAGAGAGGAAATTTAGGGGATGCTTAAAAATGAAATTTAGCAAGTTTTTCAAATGAGAAACAAGTAGGAAAATGAAGGATAGTTGCATAACTTGGTCAGTCTCAGTGAATTGTACCAAGTATTGAATTGTTATATGCTCAGTTCAACAACAGAAAAGTTATTAAAACGGGTGGGGGACCACACCCAAAACTATAAAATAACAAAGCTCCGTGCCCCACCTGGAGTGCTGTTCTATGTGACACACATGAGGAATTGGTTCTTTGTTTTGTTTTGTAATTTTCCCTCCCCAAGTCGTGGTTGACAAATTGGGCACGTGGGGGAAGTAAAATAGAATTATAAGCATGGGTTCTATAACAGGGTAAATTGTGGTACAATTTATTGAACTGAAGAAGAATTTGGGTGAAATCAAGATTTCCATTTAAGGAGAGATAGCTATTATACGTGGGGGGAGTACTGGTAGCCACCATGTTTCTCAGGAGGAGAGGGTCTGAGAGGCCGACTCCAGAGGCCCCGGGACAGAGACTGGAGCCCTCAGTGGTGGGAGGACCAGGACCAACCTCAGCAGTTAAGCCGACATACTTGTTTTAGAGTCTTCTGTACCCTGGCCCGAAGAGTCTCCCCTACTCCTGCTCTCAACACTTTTGCTTTGCTGTCTGCTTGGCAAAGTAAAATGAAGAGGTTTACCAAGTATGGAGTGCCTGGGAGGTGCAAATGCTGAATGCAATCAGCTGATACTCAAAACATTTTAAGTCCCCGGAGGACCCGCCTTTAGAAAGACCTCATGACCGCTTCCAAATACCCAGCTATTGGAAATCCTGTGGAGCACAGTTTTGATCATTCAGAGGGTCACCATGAATTAGAATGGATTTTCCAAGGGGAGCTCTGGTGGCCTAGTGGCAAGAAACTGCAACTACAATCCCAGAGGTGCACGGTTCGAATCCACCAGATGCTCTGCCGAGGAAGGAGGGGCAATCTCCTCCTGTACCAGTCAGATCTGATTTGACGGTACATGCACACAAAA